GACTCAGTGGGTTCCAGTGCCACGACACAATCAACCACATACTTGGTTAACGCAGCAGTGGAAGACAGAGACAAGGAGGGAGCAGTGGGACCCTTGGCATTATTAACCCTAATGATTCACTGTATTTTTGCCTTAGCAAGTTACAAATGCTGCTTTGTTACCCACTTCAGCCAGAGTGGTCAATTCCATATCAGAGTAAAGTGCTTACATGATCAAACCTCTAATGTATTTAATCTCAAATTAAAAAAACAAACAAACACAAAACCAACCAAACAAAAAAACCCCACCACACAAACAAAAACCTGGGCTATTATGAACTAATTGCTCGTGAAGAGCAAAGTTCCTGAAACTTACGTGCCAGTGGAGCTTACCTCGTTCAATATCATCCATAGGAGAAGATGGAAACATTTTTTCTTTTGAGGGAGAGTATTTAACGTTGTTGGGAACTTTGGTTGCATTTCGCATTTGCTGCTGTTGCTGCTCGATGCGAGACTGGACTTTACTGCTTCCTTCAGCTCTGTGGGTAAAAGGAAAAGATTTCTAATTGCTAGAAGACAAGATGCAAGGAAAAAGGCAGAATACAGGGGATATGGTACAAGGGAATTATTTCTGATGCCTTTCTAAATACTATCATTAGATTCTTAGGTAAGTTATTACAGTAGCATAATATTGTTTATAAATGTGTTAAAATTTGTTTTTTGATACAGTGCTAATAACTTTATAACGCTTTGTCAGTTGATTTCTTTTTATACCTGGCTGCCCAGGATCACTTAATAATAATTCTGCTGGAAGTTACTTACATGGACTCAGCAGCAGGACAAAAAAATTTAAAATCTTGGTATGAGAAAAACAAGCCATTAAAATTACTGAAGCCTGTCACAGAATTTATCTTTTTTTTTATTTCCTAATTTACAGTCAGAAGACAGTAGGCAAACTGCTGTCCAAAGAGGTTTTATTTCTCCCTCCAAAGTCATCAGAAAATAGTTACTATTTCTCTCAATAATGTAACAGGTTTTAGTTAACAAAAAAAATAAATTCCCATTTCTTTTGCAGTCAAGACTCGAAAGCTGTGAAGTCAGTGTGCTGAGAGAGCAGGCTTTTCACTCCTTTAAACAAGGCCAGGTACTTTCTAAAATAATGTTTTGCTAAAAATAGTAATGGGTAGTTACATATCTCAATTTAGGCCCATTAACAAATCGATTTTCACAATGAGTAAAGCGCAGTTGTTTCTCTTGTAAATCACCCACCTGGTTTTTTTCACAGTGATGTTGCTACTAAGTTTCTCTAGGCGACATTCTCCAGTGTCATGGTTGATAATTAAGATACATTCTTTTAGGTAAGGCTTCTTTGAGCCCTTGAACACAGTCACTGGTGGAGTTGAGCCCTATTAAATCAGAAGTCCAGTAAGTGTTACTCCTATAACCTTTTTTCTTAGAAACAGCAATCCATCAGCGATGGCAAGTTCACTACAAGTGATCATTTCTAGCCTATAAAAATGTTACTGTTAATTTAAATCAGATTCACAGTAGCCATGTCCCAAAGCAGCCGGTATTTGACTGGAATGGGATTTCACTCAGCTTAGCTGATTAAACGCTTATTTCCCAAGGCGGGCAGGCTCCCTGTAGGACTCCTTTCACCAAAAGGGTTTCAGTTCCCATATCAGGAGAGCAGTAAAGCATGGCAGGTAGTAAATTTTCCCTTTCCAGTCTTTCCTGCTTTAGAACTGCACTAGAGCAATAAATACCAAGGGGAAACTTGCACTGCCAACGTACACATGAAGCTTTTCTGAGTATGCAACGCTTTGGGTCATCCTACAGCATATTTCCAATGTGGCCAACACACTTAAAGTTACAGTGCAGCTGCTTAACCTTTGGGTCTTCTGTAGTTTTACACTCCTAGAGCAATTGTTTTTCTACTCTGAAAATCACACAGGCAGCTCTGAAACAGCACTGAAACTTTATACCCTTCCATATTCAGGATATATACTTATGACAACAAAATAAATCACTCCCTTAGGCCCACCACTCCTCAGCCACCCCACTCACCTCAATATTTGGCAGCGTTATTGTCACCTGTTCACCTTTGCCAACTTCAAGGTCTCCTTCACAGGACATATCAATAGATGCAGGCTTAAAGTCATCTAAATATAAAAACAAACTGGATTATTTACAGGCTTTTCAGGCATCTTATAAATGTAGACACCATTTAATTGCAGTTGGAGGCTACTAAGTTAAAACCTTTTTTTGCTGGTGCATCACCTACTGTTCTCCTGAGCAGATTATTCCATAAGTCAGTACAACTCAAAGTCAAGCTGCTTTTCTCAAGATTCAATATAAGTGTTAAAACCTTTTGGTTAAGATTAGAAACACGATTTTAGGTTTTAATGGATAAAGAGGCTGAACAAGCTGTGACATATTTCAAAGCACAAATCCTCACATAATTATTTTCGGAAGAATCAATAAATAGTTCTTGAAAATGTTGATCCCAAACATGGGAGATGTAGACAAGTGACTGAAAATGCAAAGAACAATATCAATTCTCAATATCCATTTCTGACTTTATTACAACATGTATGTCAGAAGCTGACCAAACCTTGGAGTTTCAGTATAGTTATTTTTTCAGTATAGTTATTTTTCAATATAGTTATTTTTGTCACAAGTGAAATTACTTCCCAATTTAACATTAGCTTCCTTTTTGTCTTTTTCAACATCTAAAGTATTGGTTAAAATAAGTTTTAAAGAAAAGAAGGTATTAATTTCTGATCCTTTTCAAAAACGTGAGACATGGAAAACAAGCGGCTCTGCCTCAGCACGGCAGCTCTGTTACACACCATTATCTACAAAGTATTATTTCCACCACAAATGAATTGGGAAAGGCTACAGTCAAAAGGCTGCCTGCGCTGATCTAGGGAGACGGGGTGGCAACAAGAGGCTCTACGAGGCCTGTGATAACACATGTGGGGTTGAATCCGCGGCTCCAGGTAACGCAGGGGCAGTGTCGCCCCCCGGGATGCCGGTGCCCTGCCCCGCACACGGATCGAGGCGTGGAGGGGACCCGTCAGCCGGCACACGCTCCTCGCCTCGCAACCTGCCCCGTCTGGCGCTGCTGGTCACCGGCGGCGGCACTCCTGCGGCTGGGGAGCTTCCCAGTTCCACAGCTCGGCCTGCAGCCACGGGCCAGGTGGCACAGACCACAGCTGGGAAGCGTGGCTCCAGCCTGCGCACCAGCCGGGCAGGAAAACCAGGCTGCAGGAGCTGGTGGGCAGGACCGTGCGCGCAGCAGGAGGCTCGGAGCTGACACACAGGTAACAGCCCCTGCCAACCTTGTTTAGGGCAAATCCCCACATGTTGTCCCACAGGGTCAAGCATACAGCAGTTGCAAAGTTTCTCATCGAATCAGAGAATGTTTGCTTTACTTAGGACACGGCCATTGGACTGTTAATGCCTGAGAAAATTAAGGTACTGATACTTCCGATCTTAAGTTCTAACCAGCTGTTCTCTTCCCTTTTTTTTTGTTAACAAAAACGTCAGGTATCCGAGGATATTTCTGCATGTGCTTTTGATAGAACTGGTGAACGTGCCAGTTTCTATGTCTCATTTGTTGGAAAGGAAGAGAGATTTCAAAACAGATTTCAGAACAAATCATCAAATTACAAGAGTCAGCAAGAAACTGTAGGGGTAGGAGGTACCAGATGTGGTGGTTAGTCCTCTTTAAAATTAGGGCAAATTTCAAGCTGCAGCACTTGTTTAAATTCATTTATAGGGTTTTCCCCTTCCACAGTCGCAGACAATCCTCTGTAAAAGCCTTTCCCTTTGCTCACAAGGAGCAAATTGACCCTCTCACACACAGGACACCCTCCAGAGAACATACGCAGGACTGAGTCTTGGGGATCAGTCTATAAATAACCAGACAACAAAACCAGAAGCAGCAGTCCTAAATTACCAGGACTATAATCCTAGGAGCATTTGTTTCCTAGCTACCCTCAGAATCTTTGAGCACACACCTCTCTAGATAGTAATTATGTACTCAGGGAGGGTGCACTGGCTCCGTGATTAACGCTGCCTGCCTGTAACCTTTGATTGCTGAATTGTACGGAACTTCTGAAAACTCGGCGCAAGGGAAGAGGGCAGAGCCAGAGCTTCTGCTCAGCTCGGCTTCCAACAGAACCTCAGGGAGACGTGTGGAAAAGGCATGAAAAGCGAAGTTAGTGCCCAGAGGGTGGCGAGGGGCAGCTCTGCGATACAATGGCCGTTCGTGCTCCAGCACCGACTGAACCTCCGCCGCACTGGTCCCGAAACCCCGGACCAGCACCGCACGGCGCTCAGCTCCCAGCTGCAGCCCCGAATCCCGGGATGAAGGCAGCCACAGGGCCAGCAAGGCCAGGCCAGGCCAGGCCACCCCCGTCCCTCAGGGCACTGCGAGGACAAACAGCCGGGCCCCCTCCCCGGCCCCCTGAGGGGCTACCCCAGCACTCACAGCGGACAGTGTGGAAGGCGCAGCGCGGCTGCTTCTCGAAGCTCTCTCCCAGGTTCAGCACCCGCGCCTTGGGGTCGTAGAGCGAAGGGACCGCTCCGTTCATCGCGGCGGCGCCTCACACCATGGCGGGCCCCGGGGCCGCCGCCGCCGCCCGCACCGAGCATCCCTCACACCGCCGGGCCCGCGGGCCCCGCCCACGCCGCCTCCCATAGGTCATCGCCGCTCCAGCCCCGCCCTGCCCGAGCTCCGATTGGACAGCGGGCGCGCCCCTCTGTAGATTTTCACCAATGGCACTGCCGGACGCGCCGGCCTGCACGCGGATATGCAAATGACCCCCTCCTCCCTTGGAGGAGAGTGCTGGTTGGCGGAGAGCGGCCGCGACCACGCAGCTGTGCGGGGAGGGGGGCGCGGGGGAGCGGTCGCGTTGGAGACGGCGGATCCAGCGATCCGATCCCCCCCCTTTCCCCCCCCGCAGTGGGGGAGCCCCCGCGCGGCGGTGAGAGGGGCCTGGGGTGTGCGGAGGGTGCTCTCAGAGCGCCTGAGGGGGCCCCGCGGTGCGGGGGTTCGCGGCACCGGCGCCGCCGCTCCCGGGGGCCGTGGGGGCTCCAGGGTGACGCCGGTGGGAGAGGGTACCGCTCCCTCGCCCCCTCCCCCGGCCGAGGCTGAGGTGCGGCCGCTGCCGCTGCCCGCCCCGCGGGGCTGCGCTCGGGCCGCCCGGCCAGAGCCCCGCGCTGCCGGCAGAGCCGGTCCGGCCGCCCGCGACCTCGGGAGGCAGCGCGGTCGGGGCTCCCTCCATGTTTGTTTCCTTCCCCAGGGGGAGAGGGGCGGCCCGAGGCTTCCAGCCGGTGGTGCAGGAGCTGGAGGTGGGATGGAGGTAGTGGCGTAAGGACCCCGCGCCTGCACCGCCACAATTAGGGAGGAAGGAGGCTGGAATCGCTGGTGGTGTGCGCCTGTGGCTGCTCCCCATGGCAGCTGCGGACCCCCAGGTTGTGGCCTTGGCTGCTCAGATCACTGAGAGCGGGGAACAGGACATCCCCCTGCTGCTGCTGAAGTTAAAGGGTAATTAATACCTTTCCTAAAATAAAAGGATGGGCTGGCGAGCTATGGACAGTCCTTCTCTCTTCTGCCTCCTTAAATACTGAAGGTTTTTCTGAATATTTCTGGCATGGCTGGAGACTCTGTAAGGTTGACAGTGCAGCTTTTCCTGAGAGTGGCATTGAGTGGCGTTTGGTTTGGCAACAATAAGGAGGAGGAGTTGGGGAGCAAATGGACAGGAGTTCCTGTCTCTCAGCTGTCACCCCGATGATGTGGGCCCTTGTCCTGCTGATGCGGGCAGGAATCTTATACTTGGTCAAATCATTTCTCCCAGTGATTCTGGGCAGAGAGCCAGGGTGGTCCTCAGTATTCAGTGTTTAAGTCTTAACACAGAAGTGTAATCATGAGCTCCTGTGTGACTCCCCTGCCTCCCCTTCTGCCACACAGCCACTGCTCTTAGGAATGGTTGGAACAAGTCAGGTCCTGTTCTAAATTGGGATATAATTATAAGGAAGATATATGTTTCCCAGTGGCTGTGGTTTTATGTGGCTCAGGAAATTCATACAAATGGGCCATATCCCAGGTAATGTATGTTTTCCTACTAAATGTGTAGAGAGAAAATGGCAACCTAAGTTTAGCGATCCTTCCCGATTGTCATGTAGTCTTACAAATGGTTTGTAGCTGCAGGAGCAAAAAATGCTGACAAAATACTTTATGAAGTTGTTAGCACTCTTACAATTACTTTAATCCTGGCTCTGTGTGCATATACTCTCCTTATGTTTTAGTAAAAGAAAAAAAAAAACTTGCACATCAGAATCTTATGCTCATCTTTGTCTCTCACAGGAGTTTTAAGTAGCCCTTCCTTGGGATGTGAAGAATCAAAACAAATGAAGCAAGATATATATGATTATGGTCTTACTCAGTACTGCTTGCTGGTCCTTAGGCAAGACCACTCTCGACTGCAGGGAGGCTGGGCCACTGCTGCCCAGCTAGCAGAGATACTAAGGTAAAAAAAAAAAAAACTAGCTAAGAAGTTTTCTTCTAGTTTTCTTTCGGTCCTTTCATCTTGCTCTTTTCTTTTCAAGCTGCAATACATTGGCTCCCATCCAGAACAAGGCTCGCTGCTCAGAAAAGGCCAGGGTTAAAGTGCAGGGAGCAGTCAAGAGCGGAGGGGTCAGGCATAGCCTAATTGGTCCTGTTTAATTCATTCGCGTTGTGTGTCACTGAGCTGGGTAAATTGTGTGGTGGGAACAGGGTTTGTGTTGGCTTTACCCTTTTTTTTAATGGACAGTACTCATCAGTGCAACAGTTCTTATCTGGTAATTTTTTTATATGGTAAATTTTCTTATCTGGTTGCAATTATCTGGTAATTTCTAATTTTGAATTGTAGATATTTAAAAAGGCTTGTTTGCTTAGATTTCGCCTTGCAAAGATCTTTGACCTGATTGACTCACAGCTTAGTTTGGCTGTATTCAAGTGTTTATTTAATATAGCTATTTTAAGTACCTATTTGCTATTTTTAGTATAATAGATGACAGGGTTCATATAAACTAGATAACCCCATGTAGTGATGTTGTGAGGATGACGTTGTTAAATTTAATTCATAGCTAGTAAATAAGAAAGCTTTAAACTCAAATCCACAGTGATCCAATCTCAATTTTACATGTTAGGAAAAATAATGCATTTTAAATTTTTCTCAAGTTGTATGTGGTTTTGGCTTAACTAGGGAGCAAAATTCTAAGGCATGAAGTAATTAGGCGACCATCTCTTGTTTATGCCGTATCTGCAGTATGAATTTTTAATGCAAGGAATTTCAGTAAGAGAATGCAAGATTTATCACTAGAGTAGTGTGATACTTAAATCATCCCCTATAAACTATTTCAGTTTGCACACAATAGTGAAATTTATTCTAGCTGTAAAAATGTCCTTTTGTAACTGGATGAATCTCAGCTTCATGCCTAGAATTTGCTTTCCAAGGGCCTTGGTAAACAAAGCTTTACATTTGTGCATTCCTGAAAAGTTAACAAAGCCTAGATAAAATGTCAGAAAGCAAAATTTGTAAAAAATCTTGAAGACTCTTTTGTTGCACTGGTATCTGTGCTGAGTGCAGAACTGAAAAACTTCCCAGTTGTAAAACATGCAGTTTCTTGTAAAAAGTCTTCCAGAAACAACCGATGTGTTTGCGGTGAGTAAAATAAGAGCTGAGATCTGAGGAACTGATTTCTAGCCCACGTCTTCCTCAGCTAGCAAAAGGTTTTAGACAGGGTTGCTGAAGGTTTTGTGATAAATAATAGGGGTTTTTACACATATTTTCATTGCCTGATGTGCACCCCCTTCATATCAGTCTTCCTTTATCAATTTTTTTGTCTACCTGTCTATTTTGCCTTTTTTTTTTTTCCTTCTTCATGACCATCAGAGCCCTTCCCTAGCATACGGAACAAGCCTGAACAGATCCTTTGAAGTCAAAGGAGAAAGTGCTTTGGATATGTTTTAAACTGAAAAATGCCATAATAAGTAGTAGTATGGTCTCCAGCCTGCCAGTGATTCCTCTTCTTTTGGAGGCAGCCACCTTGGAGCCAGTCACAGCAGTGAGCTGTTGTTCAGTGGTGAATTGTCCCATGCCAGTGAAGCATTTCTTCTCTGATGACGTGACATTCATTCAGAGCTGTTCAAACAGGCCTTTGACTATTCAGGTTGATGGTTTTTTCTTCTTCTTTTTTTTTTTTTTTCCATTTCAGTCATTGTTGTGTAGGACTAGAGATGAAAGAAGATCCTGAGGAATTTTACAAGAAGTTTCTTCCTTCGGCCACAGACAACCTGCTGGTTTTGGGAAAGCGCTTGCAGGCGAGATTTATCCGAGCAATCAAGGTATTTAAATTTCATAGTTAAAAGAGCAGAGAACCTCTGTAAGCTTTCCAAGGTCATGTATTGGATAAGTAGAATATTATTCTAGGGACACTGTATTATAAAAAATTATTTTCCAGAAATCACAGTTGTTCTTCTTATGCCTTGGAGCTTTGAAACTGAAATCTGTCATTGGGAAGCATTTGGTCCATGACTTGTGCAAAGCCAGTTTGTTACCACAGGCCTGTTTAGAAAGTTTGTCTACTACTTTTCACAAGTTTTAAAGGTAGAGGGAAGGATTGCAATTGTAAGTAGGAATGAAGAATGAGAGCAGTATAAGAGGGGAGAAAAAGCCTTACAAAAGGCAGTATCGCAGTCACGGTAGTGTCTTAACTTTGCATATCATTAGGTCAGCCTTTGTAACGACTCAGTTCCCACTGCTTTTATTCAGCTTTACAAAAAATGGTTTAGGAAGTCTTAAGATTTTTAAATCAGATTTGTTGAAGTTTGTTTTGCCATACAATTTCTGCTGTAAAATTGGCAAAAAAATTCCAAGAATGCTCACTGCTTCTGAACTTACACACTGGGAATGCTAAAGGCAGACTTTGTGAATTTATAGATTTAGACACTTTCTCGCATTTCTCCCCCCCTCTTTGCAGAGAAGAAGGGTTTGCCCAGTTAGGTTCCCTCATGCTTCTGAAGCATTCTGAGTTCTAGAATCAGAAGAAACAAGCTCAACAGATGAAAGCCATGAGTAATTTAAATAACCGACCTCATGGATTCCGACAGTTTCCCGTTTCCCCATATTATCTAATTTTTTGGCTCACTGGCTTCTTGCACTTAGTCAAAGTTTTCCTACAAAGTATTCTGATAGACACCACAAACAATCAATTCTCAGAAAGCATCAGTAACATCTTTTCTGAGAGTCCAGTACTTGAGAAGTGCATTTGGTGCTTAAGAAGGAAGCACTGTCCTGAAAGACATCCCAGGAGACTCAAGTCTTATCCGCAATATGTAATTTCCCCCACACTTTCTTATTATGTCTCAGCCTACATGCTACTTGAGTCATGCTTGTGGGCAAAGATTTCTTTTGAATGCAAATGCAGTCTTCACTGTAATTAGTACTTTGTCTTTTAAACTTTGTGGTCTCAGAGGTGACGGGGCACCCAGACTTGGTGCTTGCTCAGTGGAATTTTGGAAATCCCACTGTACCAGTGGGGATTTGTAGTTTATTCTGTCCTCATTTGCTTTTTGTACAAGTCTTTGAAGTCAAGGGAAGTACTGAAATAGCTTTCAGAAACTGTCATGTTGCCAAAACACAGAACAGATAATATTACATGTTAACTTATCACTGTTATTTTGTATTTCTCCGTGTCAGTAAGGATCAAATACAAAGTTAAACTTTGACTGACGGCTGGGGCTTACAGCACAGATCTAGGGACTAGGCTTTCCATGGTTTCATTTGTGGAGGCTCAAGTAATGTGGGAGATATCAGGCCGTATGTTCTATAACAACATTTGTCAGCAATGTAGTACTATCAAAAGCTCCTTTGCAGTCCCCCCTGCCCCAAGATTCTATATTTCCAGTGGCCTGTAGCTCACACCTGGAGTACAGACTCTAGACTGTGCATCTGTATGTGCATTCACATGTTAAAACTTAAATTCCTTCTGGTAATGGCAGAGTGCTGGAGCACCTCTTCTGTGAAGAGAGATGGGAGGTTGTTCAGCATGAAGAGAAGTCCCTGAGGAGACCTTGTATCACCTCCCAGTACCTAAAGGGGCTACAGGAAAGCTGGAGAGGGGCTTTTTACAGGGGCATGTAGTGACAGGACAAGGGGTGATGGCTGTGACACTGAAAGAGGGAGGTTTACATTAGATATTGGGAAGAAATTATGTACTGTCAAGGTGGTAAAACACTGGAACAAGTTGCCCAGAGAAGCTGTGGATGCCCAGTCCCTGAAAGTGTTCAGGGCTGGGTTGAATGGGGCTCTGAGCAATCTGGTCTAGTGGAAGGTGTCTCAGCCCATGACAAGGGGTTTGGAACTAGATGATCTTTAAGGTCCCTTCCATCCCAACCATTCTGTGATTGATTCTGTGTTTTTTTCCAGTCCAGTGTTATCACAGGCAAGCACATAATGTCTCTATTTGGCAAAGGGATCAAATTTCAACTTAATAGTGGTTTGGTGTTTGCTCCCAGATCTCCAACTATGAAGTGCTTCTAAAGCTTCACCAAACCAGTTTTTTGGGAACCTTTTCCATTTTAACTGTGTCCTTGGCCACTTTGTACCTTTTTTTTCCCCCTCTTCTTTAATCTTAAATAATGGTATTTCCCACTTTGTGCATTAAATCTGTGATGCATTTTTACTGAGCTATTGTTTGTCTTCTTATCCCTCCTATGCTATCAAATATTTTTTAAGAAGTAAACAAGACTTCTCTCTCCTTGTTATGAATTTTTCACAAATGGGTGCTTTTACTTTTTTAGTATGTTAAGGTCTTATTGACTGATCTCTGACCTCAAAGAACTCACAAGTTGGGTTTTTTTATGACTCGTTCCTATAATTTCACTGACCTCATTTGGGAATTTGGTGGAGTTTTGGTCTCCAAATTCCCGGGGCATACAGAGCTTCCCACTACGTCAAGATGAAGTCCTTAGTGAAGATACATGCACATGTTTTTACCTACTTCTCTTTTGTTTAGGATAAAGAAAAACAAGATTTTTTACACTGGTTCCAAACAGTAACCAATGCCATCTGCTGGCTGCTCGATGGGCATATTCAACTAGCAGCATGTGGTAAGGGAAATGGCAACCTATAAAACACCTGAACATTTATTTATGGCAACTACAGGTATCAAGAATCACTCTTAAGCTAGTATCCACCTAGTCTTCTATGTTGAAGCAGATGGTAAATCAGTCTCTTAAAGTATTCAGCTCAACAGCAATATCTAAAATGGAAAAGATCCACTAAAGGGAAATACTCAAGAGTTCCACTTCTAGTCTTCCAGAGACAAACATTAGAAGTGTCTTCCTTCTCATTCTAAAATTGCAATTTCCCATTGTAATTCTATACCTTTAAAATCAATTTTTTTCCCAATAGGAGACAGTTGATCTTTTCCTGTGTGTGATTAAAATATGCAGAAATTTAACTAGAGTACACTGCTGGCCCTGAGGAGTGGTTAGAGTTGGAAACAGATTTCTGAGGTTGTTGCCATGCCAGGAAGCTTTACAAATTCCTAACAAACTTCACTATACATTTCTGACAAAAATAAGCTTTCAATTAAACCAATGTTAATAATGCTGATTTTAAAAAGCAGAATTTGTTTTTCTTTCTAGTATAGAACAAAACCATAAGGATCATAAGCTGTGTAACTAAAAGCACACATGGTCAGAAAAATTGCTGACTATGTAGACAGTGATGCACTGTCATAAAAAAGATGGTGCTTTAATGATATCAGTGGACTTGGATTAAATAACCTGGTGTAACAAACTGTCAAGGTTGAAGTCCTTATCTTTTTTGGATATTGTTGCCCCAGTGATAATTCTGCTGTTGTAACAAGAAACCAGTACTAGTGTAACATAAAAGGTTTCGAAGCTTTTATTCCATTGCAACATCAGGGCCTGGGGGATATCCAAAGGCAGAAAAAACAGGGTTCATCATGTTTTTTGGATCTTGAAGTAGTTTACGTATTTCAGTAAGTTCCAGTGTAAAAATTAGAAATGAGGGAGTTTGTTCCAGAAACAGTATCTGGTTTTACTTGTTATGGCTTGTGTTCCATAATGAAGTTTATTTGATTTATGGTATTTTCATGTCTGGTTCTGATTGTGTAATTTCTTGTTTGCTTGTTTTTGGTTTTTTTGCAGTACTGCAAAATGATTGCTTCCTGCAGTTGTTAATAACAGATGATGTTGAAACAGCAATTATAATGATGTCTGTTTTACACAATATTTTGAGGATCAATAGGTCAGTTGTTTTTATATAATTATTTTTCTGAATTATAAATTTTAAACTCAATTCATTAGCACTTGGTAAAATAAATTTTCTATATATATTATATATTTAATATATATATTATTCATATACAAGAATTGTTGTGTTTTCTTGTTTTGGTTTTTTTCCCTAGTCTTTGTTGTAGAAATAAAAAAAAAAGTAAAAAGCTGGAGGTTTTATCTGGTTAAATTGAGAAAATGGGAATTGGTTGATTGAAATAGTAGTACTGCCTGGATCAGGTTGCTGGCCCAGCTAGCTGGGCATGTTGGCTTGCTATATGGCCTGACATATCTAAAAATAATCACTGTTAAAAAGCTCATGCTTTTTAATTGACACTTCTGTCCCCCTTCCCCTTTTTTTTCCTTTCTTCTTTTTCAAGTTCTGTCTTCCTTCAAGTTGATAAAGCGACCCTTCACTCTATTTTGGATGAACTTGTTTATAAGCTTTCATCTACCACCAATCCTGCTGTTGGAAGTGCTGCCACAAAACTGCTGTTGGTGGTGGCAAAATTGAGCAAACAGCTTGTGCAGTTACTCACAGCTCGTTACAAAGGTTTGTAAACATACATGGGACCCATGGCTCAGCCCTCTGCAAGGAGTTAAGTCACTGTGAGAATACAAAGATGAAGGTTTCCCATCTTGGTTCAATAACTATCCAGTACAGGTGGAAACTGCAGTTCTGTGTTGCTTTTGGGGCTTTTTTCCTCCTTCTTTTCTGTTCATTTTTGTTGTAGTTTAAGATACTGTGCCTCTTTCTGTTTCCTAGGTTTATTTTCTTCTGCGGACTCTGCATGTGGTAACTTGTCTTTTAAGCCTGTTGTTTGTCACTTCCAGCTTGATGGGCTTTACTTCTTCCTGTTTCCCTGGGCAGGTTGGTTACTGAGGGATCCCAGTAGCAGAGTGTCTGTACTGCCACAGTCAGAGCCCTGTGTCACACGTCTGCCACTGTGCTTTAAGTTTTACTCAAAGTGAACTTCTGACCCTGGGTGTTACAGGTCTGCTCATCTGATAGATGCTGTTCTGTTATTGAGGAGCTGACTTTTGATATCCAAGTAATTGGAATGAATTCTTTCCAAGAATTCATGTAATGAGTTTATCATTTTGTCTTGATGCCTTTAGATGAGGAGGCTGCATATGTGTATAATCTGCTCTGTTGTTCATTCTTTAATGAGGTGTCCCATTCAATGTTTCTGTCTCTAGCCTGGCAGGGAGTTCCAGGAAGCCCTTTTGTCCTCTGTCATGCCTGTGGTGACTAAGGAAGAGGCTTTGATGTTTGCCAGGTCTTTTATGTTGTTGGTCAAAACTACTCATGAGCAGCCTCAGTCCTTTGGGGACAAGGACAGTAAGAAATGGGAATGGTAGACAAAAATGTTCAATTCTGAATTTTTACACTTGTGCTGACTACTTATTAGGCAGTACCAGCCAGGTAGATTTCTGGACCAGATGGGCAGCTTTGCTACCCTTTTGCTTGAGAGGGGAGGGCTTCCTTTTGGTTTAAAATTAAATATAGTGAGCCTAAGGCTGGTATCACATTGTGGATCCTTGTGAAGCTGTTGTGATCGTCTGATCATCCCAGTTGTGGAATGCTGGCTTGTCTGAAGAGATGCAAGTCTCCATCAAAAGATGGTGCTTTGTTTTACTCCAGAATCACAATATGCCACAGTTGTTTAGAAACTCTTCATGTCTCTTCTGTGCATTTTGTCTTTCCACTGAGAAATGAAAAAAAAATTGCTTTTTTCCTCTACTTTTTTTTAAAGTTAGAATCCTTATGTTAGTTTTCACTCAGATTTGGAATCCTTTAGATAGTTTAAGGAATAACAGCAACAAAGAAAGCATCACAGCATTTCCACCATCTGGCATCTCACTGAAGTCACTTGGCTTCTCAGTGGCTCGGAACCATTGCCAGTGTGAGGTGCTCCAGTGTAAGCAGCCTGCCCAAGGTGAGGACATCACCTGAACCCAAGACTAGCACAGTCTTTACATCAGGTTTCCAGGAAGGCCTGGTCTTTTTATCTGCATGGGTTGACACGTCTGAGAGGCAAACACCAGGTACTCCCTGGCAGTGGCTGGAAGGTGCATCAGCTGTGTAGTCTGTACAGAGACTGGCCAATGTGTCAGACCCACAGCACTTCTGTGAGGGAGCTGCCCTGTGTAGCCAGACTACTTGCTTTTGTAGACAGCCTTAGGGCACCAACAAACTCCATTTAGAATCTCACCTGTGTCTCTCCTCAAGTGTTTAACTGTCATCATCTTTTGAAAATGGTGCATGGGGTGCCACAGAGGTGCCATTTCTGTTTGCATGGAGGACTTGGTGCTCCATATTCAGATCTTGTAAGTCTATATGAGTTTTGGAGTTCCCTAGTGTATGAATATGCTTACAATGATTTGAAGATGGAAAAGTTACTTGAATCTGCAGTTCTTCAGGAGGCTATCCAAACACGTGCCTACTTCCTGCCCTCCTTCTTTCCTGCAATTCCCCGCAGAGCTCTTGGGCTCTGGGATTTGTCTGATACAAAGCTTTTACCTTGTGTTACTGTGTACTTGCACAGGGAGTGTGTGTGCCTTGTGGGGGGAGCACAAGTGTGATTTTTAGCTACTGCAAGCCCAAAAAGCTACCTTGTCTCATGAATTGGATGCACATGTACTCACAGACTGTGTTATGCAGATAAGACATCAAACAATTCCAGTTATAAATAAATAAATTTTATTATGAAAAATACGAAAATATTGCTAATAACACTCTGCACTTTTGTGGTGCTTTACATTCTTTTAGTACCTTACAATGACTTACTGTTAAGACACTGAAAGTACACTGATAATTTAACTGCCCGTTTTGTAGACACAATACTTATTCAGACATACAAAATCACTGGATAATACTTCTCTGTGATGGTTGGAGCACCAGATATTCTTTGATAATATTCTGCATTGAAACTCAAAGGTGGCCAGTGGTGTTCAGCTCTAGTGTTCCTTTGCACATAGAATCAGATTTTATTTGTTGACTCCAGTTCGTTACTTTGAAATCCTGAAAGGAAACATTCACCTACTGCTATCACATGCTGTTTCTCTTTCCCTTAGGATTAAAAGGGCTTTTAAATAAACAGTGGACTGGCAAAGGATTTGACAGGGAGCTCAATCAGCTCTTGGACATGCTATATTTGGAACAATCCAGTGGAAAAGGAGAAATGCAGGTGATAAAGTTTGATTAGACTTTTTTATGTGAAATCGTAGTTATATGTGATTTTTATATGTTTAGAATGGATTTACTCTATCTCTTCCATGACACTTTTCAATTTTTCACTATGGATTTTTAAATTTCATATTTATTATTTTTTCTTTTTTTTTGAAAACATCAAGAAATTGCTTATTAATAGGATATGGGACTATGACTCAAGAGATTGACTTTCTTTGTAGATTCACCATAGATTTCAATACAATCGTAGGGGAAAAAGAATTAATTTTTTGACTAATCATAAAATAAAAATAATTGTGTCTGCTTTTCTCATGTCGGTGTTACAAATTTAGATCTCTGAATTCTAAGCAGCATTCACATAGAATTAAGTCATATAGAGAAAATATGCAGTAAGAACACCACCTGGGCTGTGTTCCCAGTAAAAGGGATGACGTGTTTTATGAGCTTCTTAAAAAAATTTTACATGCAGTTTTCTCAGAGACAATACTTTAAAGAAATCAGAGTTGTGTTTGTAGAGGTTTTCTTTCATCTGCAACAGAGCAAGGTGGGTTGGTTTGTGGTTTTTTTTTTTTTAAATTCGTTTAAGAATAGAATTGATTTTCTTTTTCATGATTGCATTTCAGTGGCTTCTGATCATACTGCAGATGTAACATTTTTCCTGCCGCTAATTCTCCAAACTTGTCTTTCTGTCCTCTCTAGAGTAGGTGTTTTGATTGAATCACCATTTGAAATGCCAAGTGCTTCAGGTGTTTTAAAGGCAAATTTCTAACATCGCTTATATATATATTTGTTCTGTAGATTCATTTGTTTGCCACAGAAAGCATCAATACAGGGGATCAGATGAGCTGCCTTTGGGGCAAATATGGGGTTCATGATAATAACTGTCTTACAAGACCTTAAATTCCCCAAGCTGTACAAATAGTGAATTCGATGCATTTGAAAACTGGTGGGTTTTAGCCAAATATTGACATTGTCCAATTATGAAAGCATAATTTTTATGCATAGAAAATATTCTACGGACTGTTTTATTTCAGAAGCAGCATCAAGCAGCATCTATAATCCAGGCTACATGGAGGGGATTTCAGACAAGGAGAAGGCTGAAAAAGCTACCCCAAGCAGTGACCACATTACAGAGAAGCTTCAGGTAAATACTATGGCTTTGTGAAAAACAATAAGGAGTAGAGTCTAGTAAGAAGGTTTGGGTTGGGTTTTCTCAGTTCACAGACTGACAGGAAAAATTCAGGTCATCTAATTCAATGTCCTGGTTGAAATAGGCCCAGCGTTAAAATAGAATCTGTCTGCTCAGGGCCATATCCAGTTCTGGAGGTCTCCAAGGGTGGAGATCCCACCATCTCACTTGGCCACTTTCCTGGTGCTGGATAATTTGCCTTGTGAAGAATTCTTCCATTACAACCAGTGGGAATTTCCTTGTTGCAGTCCTTACCACTGCCTCCTGTCCTTTTTCTGACCACTTCCATGATCTGGCTGTGTCTGCTCTATAACACTTAGGAAATGGAAGACAGAAATTATATTTGCCTTCCTTTTGGCTAAATAAACCTCACCTATCCTTGTATATCCTACCTTCCATAGCCCTGATTGTCTCTGTTTGGACAGTGTCTATCCCTCCCTTTTGTCAGTATCTTGTCTACCAGTGGGGGTCCCAGTAGTTTGACCAATATTGCAGATATGCCCTCAAGAGTGCTGAGTAAAGCCAAATAATCATCTTTGATTGCTGCCTCTGCTTGTGCTGGTGCAGCCCAGTATGCCCTGCAAGGGCATGCTCCTGGCTCGTGTTCAGCCTGTAATCCCACCAGGAACCCCAGGTCCTTTTCATTGGAGCTGCTGCCCAGGTAGTCAGTGCCCAGCTTGTACTGATTCATGAGGTTGTTTGGTACCAGGTGTAGAACTTCCCATTTGAACTTCATGTGGTTTCTGTTGACCCATTTTATGTGTTTGTGGAGGTTTCTCTGAGTGCCAGCCCTGCCCTGCATGGGAGATTGTGATGACAGCTTTGATAAATTCAAGGACAATGACATCCAGTGCTCTCCCCTCATCCGCAGAGCCAGTCATCTCATCACAGAATGCGATCTAGCTGGTCAAACATGATTTGCCTGTGATAAATCTGTGCTGGCAATTCCCATTCACCTTCCCATCCTTGCTGGAAATACCTTCCCTGAGAGTTTGTTTCCATATCCCAGGCCCTGAGTTTGGGCTGACCAAGTATTCCTTCATCTTGAAGATGGCTTTTTCCAGTCAGCTGCTATTTCTAAAACATAAAGGTAATGTAATGCCAATATGAGCTGTTTCACTACAGATTCTTTTAGCAGAAACATCCAAACAATGTGCTTTTCCAGCAGTACCAAACTGCCACTTCTGGTGCCAAAATCTCCAACTGTCCCTTTCCCAGCTGCCAGACTTCTCTGTGAAAAAACTTACTTCTGTGATGCTTTTATGTTTTCTATGTAAAAATTTGTGGCATATGGAAAACTGAAAGTGTGGCACACTGTAGCATGGGATTGCACTAAATAGCACTAGAAGATGATGTACTGGTGGTAGAACAGTTAACTGATTCACGGTTAACTTGACACAAAATTGCACTGTAAATTATATGTGAAGCTGTCCCAGAGTTTCCACATGCCAGAGTGCTGCAGAAACAAAAGCCCATAGTGCTTGCTCAGTATGGTGATTGCAAGACCTTGTTCTTCATTAATTTTTGAAATCTTTGACTCTTGGAAGTGGAGTAGTTTCAGTGACCTAGATAGTATCCTCTGCTTTGGAGCAGCACAGAAAAATGAAGCTATGTAAATAATGCTTGTCTCACTTGAAGTAAGATTTCAGCAGTAATGTTAGCACATGTTAGGCTAACTCTTTTGAGAAATTTAATGTGAATTTAATATAGGTTAATGGATCTAAATCAAGTTCAGACTCTACAGCAGGGGTTTTTTCAAACTTTTTTTGCACCCATTGAGCATTACCATGTCAAAACTATACCAAGATATGAATGTCGAATTACATTGCATCGTGACCAAGGTGATAGAAAACAAACAGTTATGATTTGTTGTTGTCTAGATTGGCATTAAGAAGATATTGGATTATCTAAGGTGTACTCTTTAACTTTTGGAAGATTTGCAGGGGGACGTAGTGTGTCTGTTGAGGGCCACTAGTCACTGCAGCTTTTGTACTGAAACACCAAGAATGACACCTTGTTGCTCCTTTTTACTCCACCATACACTTCAAGCCAATATTCCTGCTCTCATCAGGCACCTTGCAAGCCTGCAAGCCAAACTCATAGCCCAGGAAATTTGGATGTTGGGCCAAGACATAACATGGTAAAGTAGAAGGGAAAGTGTGACGAGGCTATCGGCAATCAACAAGCTGCTTGACTCCCTTGTGTCATATTTTCAATACTGCAAGCATTAGTGTATGCCTCTTAAGTAGTTCTTGAATCCTTTAAATGGACTTTTGAAAGTGTTTGTTTAATATTGAGAGGAATGGAAACTTATTAATATCCTTAAAGTTGTGTGTTCATGGCTCAGTCAGTCCCAGTGTACTGAGCAAATACAGTAACTGTGCAGCTCCAGTGTTGGTTTTCTTCTGTCTGGGTCAAAACTGCTGCTAGCATTATGCTGAAAAATAGTTTTTGGAATACTGCAAGCATGACTTTGGAAGAACCTTCAAGAGGACTTTTTAATTTTAAACAGTCAAGTTCTGGTTATATTCACAGATTTATTTTAGAACAAGTGTGGTTAAATACTACAGAGGCTGAAACTCCAAACTTGGCTCACCTGCAGCTGCAGTGGAAGATTTAAACTCTGCAAGTTATAAACTTCTGAAACTATGGTTTCAGAAATGTCTCTCCAGTGAATATTAAAGCCTGTAATCTGTCCTTGAAGTTAGTTCACTGTTATGTAGCTAATTGTAAGACTCTTAAAATGGCAAGAATTTGTGTTAATTATGCAGGGAAAATTAAACCATTTTATATATATAAAGAGATGATCAGAGTGAGGCTGATCTCTGCCATGAACTGCTGAAGGAAGCTTGGATCTTACTCTGTGTATGTTTTTCTTCTGTTCAGAGGCATTTCCCTGTCACAGTGTGGTCTTGTGCAAGCAAACGCATCTTATCATTAGGAGGAACAGAGAATGAAGAAGGGCATGTGTTTTTCAGACTATATGGGAAAGAATCAGTATCAAAGAAACATTTAAATACCTGACAGACACTACTGGTAGTTTCACAAAGGTGCATCTGAAAAGTTCATTAAATATTCTTGTAATTTTCAACCTAATGAGGCTGATAAAAATCTATGGGGAAAATATTAATAGTTTTATCAAGAAAATGCCATCAAAAGTCCTGTTTGATGCTGCAACTTCATTCACTGTAGAAATATAATATTTGGATTAAAACATTAATTTCCTGGATTAAAAATGCAAAGATTTACAGCTCTAATTTGCAGAAATGCATGAGCTGAAAACCTCTAGTTTCCTTGAAACCACATGTGTCATGATTTGTCTCTGTAGGTTGGTGTGTGGGCACACCTCAAGTCTTTGTTACAGTTGTAGAGGGATTATGGTGTGTCAGGTTGTGCTGGAGGCTTTTCAGTTAGGGTCAGATCTTTAAATCCAGAGCATCTCTTTTACACGACAGCTTCCATCCCATCTTTCCCCACCCAGTTATGGAGGCTGAAAGTATGATTGGTGGAAAAATTGCACCTCAATTTACACTAGTGATGAGAAACACACAATTATTTCAACAGTAGTGTGAGTCTAAAGATATGACATGCAGCAATACCAAAATTGCTGTACATTAGTTCTAGTCTACTGGCTTTTTTTTCTCCTTTCAGGCATCCCTTGTACCTGTGCTCCGTCCCTTGGTTTTCTTTCCTAATGCTTAAAGCACTTCTTTCAATGTCCCTGGAAAAGTGCTCGAGGAGAGCAGAACTCAGGGCTGTGGGCCCAGTTGGGGTACTCAGGTCCTGAGTGGGCAAGTGATTTTGCTGCAGTAGGAACAGAGAAGTCACATTGTTACCTCGTTTTGGGGTAAACTCATGAAGTCTCAGGCATTAAGCTGCTAATGAGGTGGGATCCATTGGGATGAGAAGGGGCAGTGAAGGGGAGTCCTAGCTCACACCTCTTCTTTCATACTTCACAGAGACCATGTTGAAATGGTCTCAGTAATTATTAGTATTGATACATTAATATATCCAGTATTTACGTATTAGTCTCTGTATTGATATGTTAGTATATATATAATTGATGTATAGGCTATTTTTAGTTTAAACACTCCAGGGCCAGTTGCAGAGTTTTCTGTTGTCTCATCTGTGAAACATCTGCTGAGTCTTTTCCCGTGCCAGTCACAGCAGGGCAACATCTTAACATCAAATCTAGTACAGATCAGGAAGAATTTGCAAGAAAATTCTTTCCTAGTGTTCTGTTAACAAAGTTGATGGAGAAAATGTCAGTCTGTATTTCCTGGAGAAAAAAATCGCTCCACCTTTAAGAAGTGAGGCTTGACAGCCAACATTCTGATCTACTCCTGCAGTCAGTAGAAAAATAGTAGTATGTATTATAAGAAGCAGGTGCCATGCATGCTGATGGATGGACTGGGAAAGGTGCATACTGGAGCAGATGGCTAATCTTGCTTTACCTCTTCCCTAGATGATGGAAACAAAATTATTTTTCCAGTTTGTGCTGGCTGTGAATGTCCCACATGGAGCATTGCTCCTTTCAGAGTCCTTAGAACTTTATCCTAAGTAAAATTGTATCCTTTGGTTTCATAGGCTCAGAGTTTTTTGTGGGTATAAGAGATCTGGGGCTAATTTGAAGGTGACTTTTCGTTGCTTCGTGTGGTTCTGCAGCCAACAGCTGGGGTAGCAGATTATTTTGTGGATTTCCTTCCTCAGCACTGGACTATTTAACACAAAGAGAAAGAGAGATACTTTAAAGAAATGTACAGCTTAAGGTAATTGTTAATGTACTTATGTATTGCAGAGCTAAACGGGAACAGGAGCTGCAACACTTAGCAAAACAGAAGGAAGATGAGGCTCTAAAACTGCAAATGCAACTTCAGAGACAGAGAGCCATGAGACTTTTCCATGAACGACAGCTGGCCTTGCTGGAAAGAGTCCATGCCAGTATGATTTATATTAAACTATAGCAGAAGATTAAACTATCTGGGACTCCTCCAGTTTCCCCAAATACATGTCCTAATCTTGCACGTCTGTTTGCACTGTAGTCTTACTGTCTCTTCTCCTGACCCAATTATCTGAAAGAGAACATGCTAATTCCCCCAGGGCTCAGTAACTACTGATCAAGATCTGCTGCCTTCAGAATGGTGCAGGAGAAAGGGAGAGCCCATTTTCTTGTGTTACAAAGCTCCATTGCAGCTACAAGTCTGCAAGACATGACCCACAGCTAGTGGACCTTGGGGAGGAGGGGTTTTTAACTAAGAGCACCCAAGCTGCTTTGGTACTATCTAGTTTGAGGATAAACAATGTAAATTGTTAAGAGATCCTAACCCACAGTCTTGTAACTGGATTTTTGTTACATTTGTAGGTCAGGTAAATAAATACATGGAGGAAATGGAGGATAAATCAGCATTAACTATCCAGAGATTCTGGCGAGGGTATAGAGCAAGAAGAATTTTTCATCAACAGAAACAATCTCTTAAGGAGTATAAAGCAGCTGTCATCATTCAGAGAACAGTAAGTATATATACTTTTGTTCTAGCATTAGATAGGACTCAGTGGATTACTGTGATGTCTCACAAAACTGTTTATTGTCTTACCGTCAATGTTGCCATAAGTTATCAAAAAGTTACTCAGCAGATGATAGTCTAGAGCCACAAGTTGCTTAGAAGGGTTAAACCTTGCATAGGTTACAAATCCTAATACAGTTTTGTAACTTAAATGTAAGAGTTGCTACTTCAAAACCTGAGGTTGGAATGTCACCACACTACAGATGAGTCAGTGACTTATTATGAGTGTTGTTACTTACTATTTAGTGTTCATGCTGACCTTGTATGTTGTCTTTTCAGCATCACAGCTGCATTTAGGCTTTAACAATGCATTATGGAAATATTTTTCTTTCACTGATTGATTACAAACAAAGTGAGAAGACAAACTTCTTGTCTGTGATTGTCATATTCTCATATGTTCTTTACAAAGGCTTGTAAATTCTTGGAAAAACGAAGAAGGAGGAGACCTCTCTCTCCTTGGAAAGAACCCAAGGGACTGACTGATGAGCAGAGACTAGCTTTGCAGCAGAAGGTGGATGACTACATCAAATTGCATCCGGTCTGTTTCTTAGTCATTTCATAATTTGCATTAATGATGCAACATAAAATACTCTAGGGATGAAATAAATTCAGCATCATAAATTCTGATCAAGATAATCCATGTGAGGTATGTGTGTGTTAACCCTGCTTGTTTGACTGCAAGGCAGCAGGATATTGGGGATTTTAACCATTAATCTAATAAAAAGTGTCAAAGCAAACTGTAATTGAAAAATTTATATACTTGATGCAGGATAACTTCAGAGATAGTTGCAGAGGAAGCAAAATTATTAAGTTAACAATTAAGAACAGCATTTGCATTCCTTAGGCATTATTCTACCCCCGGAAGATTTAAAATAACCAGCTCCTAATGGTAACAAACTGTTACTTTCCTCCAGGCTTCCCAAATGTCAGAAGAAATGAGTAAAGAATTACATATGCAGGCTCAGGAGAAGCTGGCACAGTTCCTGTTGAGGAGCAGGCTGGATCAGAGAGCAGCACAGAGGAGAGAGACATTACTGGCTCAAGTCAACACTGATGTGGAGCTGCTAATGAGTATGCGACTGCCTGTGATCATAGTTTTGATTACCATTTGGATTAAACCAATTTAGATGGAAAATTAGAGTGCATGGTGGTAAAGCCTCATTTCAAAACTCAAAGATCTTTCTTCCTTTGCCATATGCCTTATCTTGAGATTCAGGCTTTGTTAAAGATTATCCAAGTGTTGCTGTAGGTTAAGTACACCTGCTTTTCAAGGCGTATCTTATTCTTCTACAAGCAATGGCCCTGCAAAAGGCATTAAAATTTCTAAAAAGGGAATCTCACACAACCTATTCCTCTACATTTGTTTTGCTTTGTTTTGTTTTCTTGTGTTGTAAGTAAGCTGCTGGTTGAAGGCCTCTAACCCCTTCCAGATAAAGAAGGAAATCTTTGAGCTATGAATTCTGAATCATGCTTTCATTTTCTCTGGCCTGGCTTTATGTGAAACAGAATTCACTATCATGATATCTTAATTCCAGACAAGTGGCCCAGAGTGAAGGAGCAAGAGTAGCAAACTGCAGCCACCAGAGAGCACCCAAGCCGGGTAGAATTCAGCACGTTACTGAATTCCATTATTTAGTCTGTCATGTGCTGTGTCACTGCAGCTCATTGCTCCCTGAGCAGGCAAATCAGCAACACACTCTTACACTGTGCTGGGTCCCCCAGGCAGGGAATTCTCAGTGCTGCTGTGCCAGGGCAGTGGAAACACCCTGCTGATGTCACCCTGCGCCAGGAGCACTGATCCAGCAGTAGTGACCAGGAGACCCTCTTAGGTCATACTTACCCAAGAAGTCATTTTGGTGGATGCCACCACTGCACCTAAAAGAAGTAGTCCTGCTTTCCCCCTTCTTCTTTCTACTCCATTATGTATTTATTTTTTCGGATTAGCCTTTATTTGGATCACCTCTCCAATCAGATTTATCATGCAACCATAAAATTGCAATGCCAGCATGGGGAAAGGGATGACCTAGGACAGTGGGAAGTGGGAGGGTAGTGCTCCTTTTTTTATTTGAAATACTCATAAAGCCACAAACAAAATATAAAAAACTCCTCCTTGTTTTTACAGATGCTCCAGGGTTAGCAGAGACCACAGAAAAAGACATTGGTGTCTTCGTGAGTCGATCAGTCCCTGTAGCTACCAAGGCAAGACAATCCCACAACACTATGCTGAAATACACTCGCTGGCCATGGTGGAAAAAGCTTGGAGATGAGTTTATGGAGGATGATGTAATTCCTGATGAGGCCCTAAATACAGAACTGGAAACTCTCTTTATTGGTGGAAGAAAATCTTTATAGGTAACAGGCAGAAGAATTCCATATTCAACCAGACTCATACCTTGTACTGTGCACTTACTTTTGTGTGTTTTTAAGGAAGGAAAACATTTGAAAAACACTGAAAAATACCAAAACCTCATTTTAGTGTATTTTACTTATCTTGGAAAGAATCCCTTCCTGTACATCAACAGTTGGATCCTATTGATCTTGTCGCAAATAGGATTTAAATACTGTAGTTGTAAATGTAGTTGTAAATATTTTGTAATTTGTATCACTTTAAAGGTAAGTTTATAAACTTTGTCTTTTCGGTTCTTGCTCACACTGGTATGCATAAAAAATCAGGACATTGGAAAAGCCTAGGCTTTTATAGCAAAACATTTTTATCAAGTCACGTGCTTTGAAATAAAGATGGGTTCAGAACAAAACAAGGCACCAATACAAAATCAAACAAGCACAAGGTACACTGGGTGCTTTCTCTATATTTCTCCCAGGCTACCTGTCCTTGCTTCCACCCTCTGTAAGCTCCTGTTTATTTGAGTTTGTGCAGGAGTTTCATTTTCATCCATGAAGGCCTCCTGTTGTTTTTTGTCTGACTTCCTTTTTGTTGGGATGCGTTGCTCCTGAGCTTGGAGAAGAAGGTGATCCTTGAATATTAACCAGCTTTCTTGGGCCCGTCTTCCCTCCAGGGCTTTATTCCATGGTACTCTACCAAGCAGGTCACTCAAGAAGTCAGTCTGCTCTCCTAAAGTCCAGGGTAGTGAGCTTGCTATGCACCTCCCTTGCCAGCCTTAGGATCTTGAACTCCACCATTTCATGGTCACTGCAGCCAAGGCTGCCCATTCCTTACCAGTCTCTCCTTGTTGTCTCCTCTCTCTCTTGGAGAAGGAAGTTATCATCAATGCATTCAGGAACCTCCTGGATTGCTTGTCCCCTGCTGTGTTGTCCCTCTAACAGGTATCGAGATGGTTTAAGCACCCCATGAGGACCAGGGCTTGTGAATGTGAGGCTGTTCCTATCTGTCTGTAGAGGGCTTCATCAGCTTGGTTTTCCTCTTGGGGCAGCCTGTAGCAGACCACCACTGTAATGTCCCTGCCATCCCTTTAATCCTGACCCATAAACTCTGTCAGCTCCTCATCCATCTCCAGAGCTCCGTGCACTCCAGCTGGTCATTGACATAGAAGGCAACAACTCCACCTCGTCTCCCATGCCTTTCCTTCCTAGGAACCTGTATCCTTCCATTCCAAGAGTCCAGTCAGAGAAGCCATCCCTCCCTTCTCTGTGGTGTCAATAATATCACAGCCCTGCAGGTCTGTATATCACTGTGTGTATATCTCTAACTCCTCTTGTTTATTCCCCATGCTGTGTGCATTTGCACGGGGGCATTCGAGTTGGATCCCTGATGAGACCGACTTCCTGGCTGGAGTGGCTGCAATTCCTTTATGCTGCTCTTCAGGTGCTCTTCTGCCCTCTTGTGATCCCTCTCCAGACTCTAGGCTTCTCTTGCTGGCTTTGGCATCAGGCTGGTACAAGTGGGATGGATGGAGGTTCCTCTCCCCTGGCAACTGTAGTTTAAAGCCCTCTTCACCAGCTGGGCAAGCCTATGACTGAAGATGCTCTGCCAGATGGACCCTTGAGCCCTCAGCAGCCCATGTTCCTTGGGGCTCACAGGTCACCAGTGCTCCCTTGGGCTGCCTTTTTCCTTTAAAAGCCTGCAGTTCTTCCCACAGCCAATGCAGTGTACGGGAGCATGGGCACAGTCCAAACTCTGGGGATTTGTAGCCTCGGTGTGACCATCTGACTCTGTCTTCTTAAACCATGAAGTTGTTTAATCCAGAAAGGTCTCCAACCCAGGGCCTCTGCAGTCACTGTGACCCAGAAGACAGTAAACACCTCCAGTAGGATCCTGCCTATGGATGTACCCAGAACAAGAACTCGAGACTGTACTAGTGCCACAGTGCCTGCACTGTTTTTCAGGTAAAAGGCACAGATTCTTAAAAATTAGATCTTACTGCAGAGGAGGAAAAAGTGCAGTGATTTCTGCTGGTTTTATGTGGGCAGCAATATTGTTTCAACATGTTTGTCTTCCATTCTCTCTAGATGGCTTTGAGTTTTAATTTCAGTGGAGATGAATGGAAAACAAATAAATAGAGATAGTGGGCAGAAACCCAAGCCCATTCAGTTGCAGCTGATAGTTGAAATTAATAATTGGACAGCTGCCAGGAGGAAGAGCTGGGCTCTGTTAATTTTTTAAAAAGAACTGTGATTTGGAATGCACTTGAATTGGCTCATGATTCCTTTCTTGGAGAATTAAATGGTGGAACAATCCATTCGGTATTTGCTAGGGTACTTGCATGTGTCTGTTGAGTTACGTTTTGTTCTGCACAACTCTGTTGTTAGTTTTAAGCCGTGCCCATAACAGGACAGGTGTCCTACAACCACCAGAGCAGAGGGCCTGGGGGCAGTCACCAAGCACTCCAGGGTATGGAAACTGTCCCCCAGCAGCTTCCAAGCTCTGGCACTGGAAAAGGCCCAGCATCTCTGGATGGATGCACTGCAGCAGGCCAGCTGTTCCCTCCTAAATACCTGAGTCCTCTGTATACATCACTGTCCCCTCTGCCCCAAACTATTTTGACAGAGCAGCCACTGCTATTCTGTTTATTCCTAATCACCTCCTTAGAGCAGGGACATGGTCGCAGAGGGGCTTTGCTGAACGTATCTTACTAAAAGAGATGCCCCCCCATGGCCAGTGTTAAATACAAAGTGAATTAGAGAGACACTTACCAAAAAATTTATTGTAATGGCCTCTGCCACTCACTGCCATTGGAGTGGATAATGAAGTCCCACTTTGGAATATGCAGTTTGCATATTTGCAGTTCACTTAATGAGGGGTTTTAAGTGAACAGAGAGCCTAGTAGAAGGTGCTGTCTTGCTGAAGGAAATAAAGTTGCTGATCCAGCAGCCTGAACTCCTCTGCCCCACCACTGCCCTGACAAAAATGCCTTGTTTTACTTTGTGCTTGTCACCAGGATATTGCAGTCACCTCCATTTTACAGACCAGGGAAACAGAGGCACAAGAGCTATGAGGGAATGTGCCTATGGCCATATGTAACTGTATAACCTGTCACTTGTTCCTGTTACTGTTCCAGGCAGAACAAGCCAGAACGGAGCCACTACATGCTGAGGCAGAGCTGGGAGATGTTCTCAAATGCCAGTTGCTGTGGCCAGCTTGGAGCCTGGGCCCAGCAAAAGAGATCTCCAGGCTCCCTTGCTGGGAGGAATTTGGCATAGCTTGATTCATGCTCTTTTCAAGTCCTGCACCACGTGCACCATAGGCAGGACATATTGCTAGCATTTTATTTCATTGCAGCTCTTTCTGGAATAAAATACTCCTGCCTGAATAACGGGAAGAGGTATAGACAGCTGAACAGAAGCCATCTCCAGCTTGCTACGAGGTGAACAATCCTCTCTGGGTTATACAGTCACCCAAAAAAAAAAAGGCTGTAGGAGAGGCTGTGAACTGAGATGGGACCAGTCCTGCTCCCACTTCCCTGTGTGCCACAGGCATGCCCAGAAAATTTGGAGCTGTTACTTGGACATAAACATGCAGCATAGGTGGTCAAGCCAAGTAGGAAAAAGGGGCAGAGTTTGGTTGTGCCCAGCAGGTCTGGGCTGTGCCCCTGTGGGTAGCGAGCAGGCCTTCCCCAGCAGGCTGAAGACAGACCCTGGTCACCCAGGGGAAGTGTGGGAGTGCCCTCCACACCAGTGGAGTGACACACCTGGGGGCACCTGTGACGAGGGGAGGGGCAGAGGTGGAGCTGGAGCTATTCAGGCAGTGTCACTCAGGTCCTTAAATACTGATGGCTGTCTCAGCTGGCCTGTGGGGGCGATTCAGCTGAATTGCAGGTTTCTGTTGCTGTGATAAATTGGACCAATTTGTCATGTGGTTTTGTTTCTTCCCTCCCTTAAGTAAAGCTATACAGGAGTGTTATTGCTACAGCTTCAGCAGCAGCAGACAATCTGGAAAACAAAATCCTCTGGTGGATATGGATAAAATGGAAGGGACAGTGACTGTTCTTCTGCCAAAGGTGCCACCAAAGTCATGGAGCTGGAAGAAGGCAGCAAAGGAACAAAACAAACAAAGAATTACTCAGCCCTTTCAGAGAGAGAGACAAGGCAGTGTCCTCTGCTGGCTCCTGAAATTGAGGAAAATTCCTGTTCATGCAGACAGGTGTTTTTTTTTCAGCTGTAGCTGTAACTGGACTCTGCAAACAACAGGATGCTCATCTCCAGCAGAGACACAGGCACGCGCTCAAGATTGCGCTGCTGAGTCCAAGGGCGTCTCCTGGCCTTTCAGACTGGCTGTAATAGGAGCTCTGAGCTGAGGACAGGAGATAACCCTGATGCTATTTCACCCCTTCCCTCTGAGTCTTCTACGGCCGATTTCCATGCAAGCAGAATCCGGTACAAACATCTGCTCTCCACTGCAAAGTATCACATATATCGAGTATAGGGAGGAACAAAAGCTTTCTCCAAGTAGCGGAATCAGGGCTATTTATAAATTATCCTTCATCATAAAAGGAGGCAGCCCTTTGCAGGGGGAGCTGCAAAGACCATTGCAAAACGGGCCTCCAAGTTCTCCTTATCATCCTTCTTTCCAGCACAATAGCACCAGGTCATCCTCTAGGCATCCTTGTGTACAGCGAAGAACCCTTTAATAGGTTGTTTACTACATGAGTGATATAAGGGTCCAGATTGACCAAGGGGAACTGAAGGACAGGTGCCTCCCAACCCCTCTCCCCTGCTCTCCCTGAAGGTAGGGCTGGGTTTACTCCAGGTGCTGTCTTGGGACAGAATGACAAAGTCTGGCAGGTGAGGACCAAGGTCAGGACACCACAGCTCTGGCAATTTTTCCCAGTTGTGCTGGAGAACTCCTCTGTGACCTTGAGCATATATTGTTTCTGTCTTTTCCTCTCTCAAATGAGGCTTACTGTTGCATTTGTAATTTAAGAGCCTTCAGTGGAGGATGCTGTGAGACCAGTGCCACTGAAATCCCATTCTACTAAACTGAAATGGGAGTTTGACAGGCCCTGGAAAGAAAAAATATTTGTATAATCAGATGTTGAGCACACAGAAAGAGCTCAAGGTTGCCATGCTATTTACTTCTCTCCACATTCAACTTTTCTCTGCAGAATTTAGTTCTTCTCTAATTAGATCCTCAGACAGAAGCAATGTTATTACCTGTGCTGGATCTCTTAATAAAACCTATGAATACAAGCTATTCTGATCTCCTTTTAACGTGTCTCACCAATACAGAACCTGCCTGCTCAGAACGAGATGAACACACACACACATACAAGTCGGGTAACAAGACCCAAATAGAGTGAGCTGGGCCTCACTCTAGCATTACACAATAGA